ACATATATATATATATATATATATATATATATATTAGTTCCTAGAGGAACATAGGGCTTCAACCGCACGTCCCCACTGCGTTCGGTTTTCCGTCAACGTTTTCATCACCTGACTCCACTTCTGCCCACATGCTTTCATCTCCTCTCTACATGACGTTCTACTCCTCCATGTCACCCCACCCTCTCAGTGACGACCAACTCGCCGATTCCCGTTCTTGCTCCACTCGAGCAATGGCCTGACGTGTGATGTTATTCACTGGATGGTTTGTTTTCTCAGAGTATGGGCAATCCACCTCCATTTCTTCCTGCAGATTTGCTGCATAATTAGTTCATGGTCGGTTCGTTCCCAGGGATCCCTCTCTGTTGATGAACTTCTCCTATCAGTCATCCGGTTTTGAGCGAAGACAGCTGTTTATGAAGGTTTGTAGTTCGCCTGAACTACCCTTCGTGACGCACCAGATCTCTGATTCGTATAGTAGCACTGACTGACTTCACATTGGAGTTAGAAATGCCCATCTTATTTTCATTTTCATGCTGAGTGCTGTTGATCTCCACACAGACATGAGAGTAATAAAAGCTTGCCTTGCTTTCTTGATCTTTGCTGCTTTGATATCCTTATCAGTAACGTTCACCTGTAGTTGAAACGATGCTTTCCAGGTCGGTGGGTGGGTAAAGGAGGTTGCTTCTTTCAGATATCCCGTATTTATGCTGACTGTTGCTGTAAGCCAGGAATCTTCATCACCTCTGTATATTATTATTTATTTACATCCTTTAATTCCTAGAGGAACATAGGGCTTCAGCTCAACGTCTCCATTGCCTTCTGTTTTCTGCCAACTTTTCCACTCCGCTCCAAGTCTGCCCACATGCTTTCATCTCCTCTTCTCTGCATGACCTCCTCCATGTCACCCTTGCACTGACGACCAACTCGCCGCCTCCCTTTCGGGTTCCACTCAAGCAATGGCTTGTCTATTGATGTCACTTGATGGTTTCCTCAGTATATGGCCAATCTATCTCCATTTCTTCCTGCCTATTTGTTTCACAATCGGTTCCTGCTGTGTTGGTTCGCTCATTGCCAGCGATCCTTGTTGCTGATCTTTACTGGCCGGCCATCTGATCTTGAGTAACAGTGAGCGAAGACAACCGTTAATGAAGGTCTGAAGTTTGTTTGAGATGATCTTTATGACGCGCAGTGCAAGTCTCTGATCCGTATAGTAAGTAGCACTTCACACAGATTTGAGAGTAATGAAAGCTTGCTTGACTTGCTTTTCCGATCCTTGCTTTGATATACTCATCAGTTTCTTCCGCCCGTATTTGAAACGATGCCTTCCAGGTAGCTAAGTAGGTAGGTGAAGGAGGTTCTTTCTTCCAGGTCCCTCCCATCCAAGCCGATTGTTGTTATTGTTGTTGCTGTTGATGTTGCCCAGGAATCTTCATCACTTCTGTTCTCTCTATGTTTACTTGCAGTCCTATCTTCGATGCTTCTTCTGTCATCAATTTGTTGCTTTTCACTTGCATATCTTCCAGTTTGTGGGAAATCAGACACATATATCATCGGCGAAGTCCAGATCCTCCAACTTTTTTGTATGTGAGTCCATTTTATGCCTGCTTGCCCTGCTTTCTCGATTCTTACTTTGATATCCTCGTCAGTTCCGCCTGTAGTTGAAACGATACTTCCCAGATAGGTAGGCAGTCAGATGAAGGAGGTTGCTCCTCTCGGATTCCTCCCATTTACTCTGGCTGATTGTTGTCTGTTGTTGTTGCAGTTGGCCACAGGAATCCTCATTACCCGCTATTTGTTTATATGTATATAATTTTGGTCATGACTTTTAAGCTCATAATCAAACTTATCACTAGTCAAGTCCATGCTAACAAAAGCTTGAGAATCAGTCTGATTCACATTAGCAACTGCCTCTATTCAGGATATTATCTGGAGTTCTGCTGAGAAGTTACTGCTAGTGGAGTCCGTGAAGTTAGATAAGAGAACACTCATTCGTCTATGATAATTATTTATCATCAATTGATAAAATGCGGAATTCATTGGATCAAGTCCCAGTGACTGAATGGTATTCTAGACTGTCTTCTAATCTGATATTCCTAGATTCCAACCGATGAAGAATCTCAAACTAGGACGAAACCACCGTCCAGCACTCCTTATTAGCTTCTAACGATTCGTTAACTAATGTCAGCTTGTAATCAAACTAGTAACTAATCAAGAATTCTTGTAAAACCAACACATGATAATGCCAATTATAGAACCTAAAAATCAAATAAATGCCTACTGAAGTACCAGTTTAGCTATTTAGTCGATGAGGAGTTTTTAGTCTTAAGAGGTTGTAGTGTATATTTGTTTTTTTGGTTAGAGTATATCAGTACCATCATCTGACTGTGTGGTTTGGTTTTTCTCTTATTTTTTCAAACTGATTGATACAAAATGCATGTGACAGAAATATTAAGCAGTGTTTTTTTTGTGTGTTCGAAAACTTACTACTACTCAGGACTAATAATTAGTAGTAATTTGATCAATATATATATATATATATATATATATATATATATATATATATATATATATATATATATATATATATATATATATATAAGTTTTCTAAAGCAGTAGAAGTTGACTATATAAAAGGCGTTGTTGGCGTTTCAGCGAAGAGACTCTTTTCAACAACGAGTTTATCATCAAGCTGTACAATCGTATATATATATATATATATATTATGATGATTATTATTATTTTATTGTATCCTTTAATTCCTAGAGGAACATACGGCTTCAGCTCAACGTCTCCATTGCCTTCTGTTTTCTGCCAACTTTTCCACTCCGCTCCAAGTCTGCCCACATGCTTTCATCTCCTCTTCTCTGCATGACCTCCTCCAAGTCACCCTTGCACTGACGACCAACTCGCCGCCCGCTTCCCTTTCGGGTTCCACTCGATCAATGGCTTGTCCAGCGATGTCACTTGATGGTTTCCTCAGCGTATGGCCAATCCATCTCCATTTCTTCCTGCCTATTTGTTTCACAATCAGTTCCTGGTTGGTTCGCTCCCAGAGATCTTTGTTGCTGATCTTTACTGGCCGGCCATCTGATCTTGAGTAACAGTGAGCGAAGACAACTGTTAATGAAGGTTTGTAGTTTGTTTGAGATGCTCTTTATAACGCGCCAAGTCTCTGATCCGTATAGTAGCACTGAATGAATTCACATTGAGGTTGAAAATCCGGATCTTATTTTTGATGCTGAGAAGTGGCTGTTGACCTCCACACAGATTTGAGAGTAATGAAAGCTTGTCTTGCTTTTCCGATTCTGGCTTTGTTATGTACTCGTCGCTAAATTATTGTTATGGACTGGTCGAGAAACTAATAGTCCTGACGCGAGAAGGCGGAAATCAGAAGACCACTAGGTTTGCGATGATACTTCTATTGTCCAAACACAAGGAGACGAAAATAAATGGTCTCACACCAAAGTGGTAAGCAAGTCAAGTAGTTGTAAAGTAAAGTAGTTCACACAAATTGTGAATGCGAATATATATAAATAATTCAGACAAGCGTGGGAAAAATCATTAGACAGTCTTAACATGAATGGCTAATTATAATGGAGTGTCGATCCAATTATACATAGCGAATATAGCAGACATGCCAACAAACATATATGGATATATGTCACCAAGCAACGGACTGTCAACAAACACTCATATTATATATAATATAATATAAGGAGAATACACATTATTAAAGGAGACAAGTCCATACAAGTGAAGTGGTCACAGACTAACCGAGCAAACAGAAAGAGAGACCAACATGCACACACACACATAAATATATATATGTGGATACATATCACCTCCCCTTTTGAGAAGATGGATGATTAGTAGGATGTTTACCTGGGGGTTTATCTGGGACCTTTGGGCTTGTTGTTGACGCCTGTCGTTTCGTCTGATTGTTGGGTTTGCGGCTTCGGCTCCGTCCGGAATTGTCTAGCATTTTATGCTTCTTCACTGTATTGCGTAGAGAATTTAGTGGGACATCAGCCAGATGCAAACGATCGAACCAATCAAGTCCCAAAACATTTAAATCATTCTTCGTGACGTAACAAATTCCTGTGAATTTGGTATTGCGGAAGGAAACAGAACATTTGAGTTCACCAATTAGTTTGAGCCGCCCACCACAGGCGCTGAGAAGAGACTGGGAAGTATTGGTGATAGGTGGTCTGCCAATATAATTCCAAAGTTTCTCTGATATAACAGTAATATCAGAGGCGGTATCTAGCTGCAGACGTGCATCATGACCATTCATCTGAAGATCAAGATATTTCCGCATAGCTGGTGTTGTGACTTGACGGGTTGCGCGTAGACTCAATGACTTTTTGGGGATTTAGGACCAACATTTTGTTGAGCTTTTGCTGGATTTTGACATCTGGGTTTGCGTGGCTGACAAAAACCATTTTTGTGACCGATGATCTTGCACTTGCTGCAACGATGATTTTTGTATGGACAAGACTTTACAAAGTGCCACGCGCCACAATGCCAGCATGGTGATGGAGGGGTCTTCTTTGTCGTATTTTGTGAAGTTGGACGAGTATGTATAGATTTCCGCGGGACATTAGAAGAAGTAGGTGGGTCAGGAGTAGCTGATGAGAGATTTTTGCTCTTGCGTAATGCACGAATATCAGAGCTTCTCGGAGGTGTTGATTCGACCAGGTGTGTGTCTTTCTGCAGATTAATCAGCCGTTGATATTCATCAGCTATGTCATGTAATGTTAACTTGGGATTTTGTTCTAGCTGATTGAGCAGTCGAGTTCGGATATCTGTGAAACGAGGAGATTGGAGACTGCATATGAGAATCAAGGCTTTGAACTGATCATCTGTTAAGGACCTGAGTCGAAATCTCTCACATTCTCGGTTGACTGTGCCAACGTGAGTAAGAAAATCATCATTTTCATTCATTGCCAGCTTGAGGCAACGATAACGTATACTGAATAATGAGGAGTGGTCTCCGAAAT